GGTGGTGACCAGACCATGTCTCTTCTCGTGGGCACCCTTTTCGGATCTATGCCGGATCATCTGTCCCTGACACCCTGACTCCCGCCTTCGCGCTGCACTGCCTTTAGCACATCTTGCTACATCCGGATCCTTACGCTGAAGCTTCCGCCGTCGTTTCGTATCTCGCTCTTCCGCCGATGCTAACTTCATTGACCGGACATGTATAATCTCACCCTTGGCTTCCGGTTTAACTGCTTGCTTTTTCCGACCACCTTTTTCAGGACACTTCAAAGCGCGCCTACTGCTACCACAGCCGCTTCCATTTCCGGCCACCGGCGTATCACCATTGCAACGTGGTTCAGTGGCTTTCCTCCTGCCGGAAACACTGCCTGGCTCGCCATGACCACTTCCTTGTTGCGACCTCTTCTTCACTGAGCTAGCGGAACCGTCACGCTTTTCCTGTATCAGTGAACCGCTTCCTTCTCCTGATAAAACCACTCCGTCTCCATCACTGCCAACCTCCGCCCAACTAACCGCTTCCGTTTCTGGTGGAATTGTCGACACTTCCTCTAAGACTAACCGTCTACTGCAGTACTGGCTGTCGTAACCAACCCTAAGTGGCACTTTCCGGTGACGATCTGTCAGGATCATTCTCTGGAGGTCAATCTTCATGCCTTGGCCAAGTAAGAAATCCACGCCGATGATGACTTCATCCACAATGTCTGCCACTATAAACTTAGTGTACGAGGCCCAATCGTCGATTATTACCTCGCATGGTACTTCTCCTAATACTTGGGTGCATTCACCAGTTGCAGTCTGCAGCTTTACTCCAGGTAGTGGCTTCACATAAAAAGTGGCCAAATCCGGTCGAATAATGGAATGTGTCGCTCCAGTATCCACTGTCAGTACTCTCTCCTGCCCATTCACACATCCACCAATAGTGAGGTTGCTCGCATTCCGGCCAATTTGTGAGACGGAGATTATGGGCCCTTCAACTTCTGGAGCCAGCACGCGGCCCTTCCTGCTGGCTCGTTTCAGTTTAACGACTGATTGGAGTTGGCTGCGTCTCCTTCAGCCCTGCGTTTGCGTCCTGCTGAATTGTTGAGCCCACTGGAACTTGCACTGCAATCGCGGGCGAAGTGGCCTGACTTTCCACATTTAAAACATTTGCCAGAACCATGCTTTTTCTCGCCCAGCAGTTGGATAATCTTCTTCAGCATTTCATTTGTCTCGTCCGGTGTTTCCACTTCCACGCGATGTGCTTTGTAGGCTGGTCTACTTAGGAGCGCCGCCGTTTCACGCGTCTGAGCATACGAGACAGTTTCAGCAAATGTTGGCTTGGGATTCGCGTACGTCTCTCGCTTGGTATACACGTCCCGCATTCCGTTTATGAACCTCTGGATTTTTACTCTTTCGAGGTGCTCACCAGATGCATCTCCAATTGCCAAATGAGCCAACCTTTCGATCTCGGAAGCGAATTCCTGTAAAGTCTCGTTGGATTTCTGGCAGCGATTCTCCAGCTCCATCTGGTAAATCTGTCTCCTGTGCTCGCTACCATAACGTCTTTCCACTGCACCCATTAACGCATCGTAACT